AGAGGAGGCGGAGCTAATGCCTGATCAGAATTCTACCGGGAGATAAAGTTAAATTCTGCTGTGATAAAACGCCATCCTGTTTAAACTACGTCAAAGATTATTTCTGAAACAGTACGGAGCTCAAATGCTTTTTTTCTTGCGGGTTAATCACAAGGTGAGTTCTTTCTTTATTTCCTGCTTTTTAAAACACATGTGCTCTACAGTACAGGTTAGCTCTGAGTGTTAGCAAGGCTTGCTAATGTAAACAAAGACGAGATTACGTCCAAAACACGTCAGGCATTGTTTCTTATAGCAACTTTCTGTGGGTCCGCCGCCGAATTGACGTCAGTTCGGATGGAATCTTTATCCACTCGTTGTACCCCTGCATTGAGGAGAGGGTGGACAGGGCCATGTACCGCAAGATCTTTACCGATAGTCTCCTCCCCTCAGCCAGTACACTGTAATGGGTCATGGAGGGGTCTTCCAGCAGGACAATGGCCCTGAACATACGGCCAAGGCAACACAGGAGTGGCCAAAGAAGAAGCACATTTAGGTGATGGAGGGGCCTAGCCAGTCTCCAGACCTTAATCCCATAGAACATCTGTGGAGGGAGCTGAAGCTTCCAGATGCCAAGCATCAGCCTCAACACCTGAAGGATTTGGAAAGGATCTTCAGAGAGGAGTGGACCAACATCCTTCCTGAGATGTTCACAGACCTGGAGACCAACTACAAGAAGAGTCTGACGTCTGAAGCGTCTGATGTTTTGCAAGGGGATCAAATACTTATTTCCCACAGTTAAATGCAAATCAATTGTTATCTTTTATATCATGTCAATTTCTGGATTTTCTTTTTGATATTCTTACTCTCAATGTTAAAACAAACCTACCATTAGAAATATAGAATGTTCATTTCTTTGTAAGTGGGCAAACTTACACAATCTGCAAGGGATCGGTTATGATAATATCAATTATCTTGTATTGACAAGTTAAACGGCACAAACTAATATATTTTGTTCATTAAAAAATGTCCTAACCATGTTAATCGCTCGTACTCATTTTCCAGTTTATAAATGAAACTATGGAGAGCGTTTTTCACGTGAGCAACCCGAGAGATGAGAGACTCCACCGCCGCCTCCAGCTGCTTCTCCTCCCGTTGCTGAGGGGAGAAAAGAGCAAAGCTGTCTGATAAATACTCACACTTAACACACAAAATAATAAGGACAGGCTTTGTTCACCAAATAAATGTCCGTTTAACTCTATAATAAGTAGGAATTCATTGTAATGTTTAACTAACAAACGCTAGTTTAAAAGCAAACTAGTTTTTGTCTCATTTAGCAAGCTAGCTACTGCAAGATGTAGTCTACACATACGTAAACCAGGAGCAAAGTATACAAGTATGCGAGTACAACTTCAATTAGAACGCATGTGAAAATATTACAAAAAGTCGCATACTGTAAATGGATATAAAGACATTTCAATAATATTACCTGCATTGTTGAACTACAAGCTAAACGCCGAAATGTTAGTGTACCGTCCAAGTAGAAACACTTCCGGTTCAAGATGTCAAAATAAAAGCATGGAATTTGTTGATACACTTTTTTCACAGAAATGTACGAATAGCATACTAAACATGCAGGGTGGAGTAGGCCCACTGTTATTACATACATATTAGAGGTACTTGTACTTCTTTGATTAATGTAATGGTATGCAAACGTATAGGCCTACTTGTAGTCCATATTTAGATGGAAATATTCTAATAATGTTTTATTACATTACATTTTATGGCTGTTGACATTTTTGGGGGGGATTTATAGAACAACACAGAGACAAAATTCCGCCAGTAAAAACGTGACTGTAATATGTCACCAACATGAAATAAAAATTGTAACCTTGCTCTATCCAATGTTCAAAATGATATCATAAATGTATGTGCAAATTACTGCATATTTAAAAATGTAATGCCTCAATTGCTTTTTTTTTAATAACACTTCAGAAAATGCGTAATACAAACGTTTTTATATGTAAAAAAGTGGTGGGGCACAAAAAACGTAGATGTTTATTATAAGCTTCTGCAGTGACGTGCAGTGAGGTTCATGGCTGGAGGTGAGGCAAAGGCACTCACTCTTCAGGTTTACAAATATTCTATTTTGACCTAAATCAAAATATTCTATTATTTTCAAAAGCTTTTTTATCCTGATGCTTCGATTAATTTTAAACAGAAAAAGTAATTGTATCATTTAAATATTGGATTGTTCTCTCTTAGTAAGATCCCTTTTTCAATAAAATGCTGATCCTG